TTTTTTTTTTTTTTTGTCCCCTCAATTCACTCTCCATATAGCAAGCTTGCAGAGTGTTCTTTCAGAATGCAAGTCATATGCCTGCCCAACATCCTTCATTGGCTTTCTACTGTCCTCTGGTTTTAGATTAAAATCCTTAACCTGGCTCTGCAGCAGCTTTCATTATATTTTCCCTGTACTTCTCTCAGGTCTCATCTCAGATCTTCCCCACTCCCTTCACTCCCCAAGCCCAGTCCCTGTGCTACACAGCTGCGGGGTGGGGGGTGGGGGGGGCATGGGACACCATTCTCATTGCAGCCTATGGCGCTGGGCAACAGGCTGACCCTGCCCTGGAGCAGCCACACTGAACTTCAATGTCTTGATAGGACTGGCCCCCCTCCCCTTACTCTGCCACAAACACACACTACCTGGTTAACTCTCGGTCATCCATTGGTTTTCTCCTTCAGTGTCACTTCCTCGAGGAAATCTCTCAACTCCCAACTGAGTCTTCCTGCTTGTTATTTCCCTACCAAGGTCCAACTGCTCTTTTCCTTCAAATGGTCTAAGGCCTTTATAAAACAACTTGTTTAATAACTGCGTTCCCCACTTGACTATAAGCTACATGAGGGAAGGAATTGATTGTATCTTACTCTCTTCTACATTCTCAGCACCAGGTGGCAAGTAGGCACCATAGGAACATTTGTTGAATGAATCATGAGATAAATATTGATCTCTAAGTGCCTTCCCAAATCCAATTTTCTCTGAATCTATCAACAAGGGTGAATTTTCTAGTCTTCTGGCCCCTCCTAGGGTGTCCCTTTGGAGCTTTCTTTTCATATTATCTGCACATTCACAGTATTAGCAGCTGGGTGGCACTGCTGATGTTAGAGACAAAGCATCCAGTTTCTAATATTCTGTGGCTCAGAGGATGGAGTTGAGGTTGCCACTAGACCAAAAACTTCTTTCATCACCTTCTAAAAAAGTGGACCCCAGAAAACCAAATGGAAGGCAGAGGATGCAAACATCTAAATGCATGGCCATAAATAGCACCCAAGTGACCCAGCTGTGCAGGGCGCTTTGGTGGGTGGGGAACTCTGAGTGGTCCCAAGCCGGGGAGGGGTCCTCACCTTGGTGGGAGCAGCAGGGAGCCTTCTGGTGAGAAGTATGGCTCATCTTTCAGCAGACAGGTACTGCACTCTACCCCTGCCTGCTAAAATGTTAAGAAGATTCTCTAGCTATTAATGGACTTTAGCAAGTCACTTGGACACTGGTGACAGGAGCTCACCCTTCCTTTGAAGCCATAGGGTGAGGTCTCTGTGGCTGAGTAACTGAAAGTTGGCCTTGGGGAGAGATTTGCTTTGGCTGGATGGGAGGTAGGTCTCTGAAAGAAGCCAAGCCCTCTGCTGATATAAATGAGGCACCCGGCTCCCTCCACATCCTAATTATCACTCTGCTAAAAATATTCAGTAATGAGCATGATCAGAGAACCTTTTTTATCATGCTTTTCAGAATTGCAGCATTTGGTTATGGAGCTATTTTAAGAAGCAGCAAAGCACATGTTAATGAAGGAAACTTTCAACAGTAGTCAGCGATGTTAGAGTGCGGATGAGGAACGTGGACCTTACAGCCCGCTTCATTTAAGCCCCATCTTTTCACGCAGCCTTGCTGCAGGATTTGGACATGGAGCTCTGACAAGCAGAGCAGAGTGCCATAAAGTTGAACGCATGCCCTTGATACCTCTGGCTTCATTTGCAGTGATTTCTGACTTTCAAAATACACTTTAAGTATAAAAGCCACATGTGGATGTTCAGGCCACTTTAGAGCATCTTTCTCCCACGATGAATACTCTGGCCTCCTCTACCTGGGCCCTAAGCATCTCTCTGCTGTGGCCCTTCCTTGGTGAGGACTTGGCGGAGCAGATTAGTGGACCACAAGAAAGGGTTCCTGTGCATATGAAAAGTCACACGGTCTTATGCCTGTGCCCCCAGGGCAAGTAAAATACCACCTGACTATTAATTTGGAGATGGGGATTTTGGCGAATTAAACATGGGCACAGTTCCCATTCCCTAAAATCTGGCCTGGCCTTCGTGACTTGCTTGTAACAAATTGAATGTAGTATAAGTGATACCTGGTGACTTCCAAGGCTAGGTCAGAAGAAGTTTGTGGCTTCTATCGAGATGGCCAGCCCTCCGGATGCCTCCTCCTAGGACACACAGTCTTGGAACCCATGCTGTGAGAAGCCCACACAACACACAGGGGCCGTGTGTAGGTGCTCCAGTGTCAAGCCCAACTGAGCTCTCTGTAGGTGGGCAGCCTCTGTTGCCAGCCACAAAAGTACTCCATCTGGGATCTCCAGCCCAGTTGGGCCTTCAGATAACTGCAGCCCCAGCCAGCATCTGACAACAACCATTTGAGAGACCCCAAGCAAGAACCACCCAGGGAAACCCTTGGTGATATCCTGAACAAATCATGAACACAAAGTCATGAACAAAATAAAGGGGCTCCTTTAAGTCACTAACTGTGGGAGCAATTTCTTATGCAACAATAGGGTGCTGGATTGCTTGGAGTTAGAAAAATGTTGGAGCTGTTCCTACACCTAAACAACTGGAGTTGAGGTTTGACTCCCTAAAATCAGGAAAGCAACTTTTCCTTAGCTCACTAGAGGCCATTTACCCAGAAGTAAAACCACCACCAAATGCTTGTCCCTACTCTACATTGAAGCTGAGGAACTGTCACCCCAGGAAATATTTATTCAGTTAACCCTGGGCATAACCCCGGTGAACCAGAATCCCTGGTCTAGATTCTCGCTACTCTAGGTGAGTTCTATAGACCCGCGGCTTCTAACAACCTCGGAGCTCATCAGAAATGAGGATCTTAGGTCCCACCAGGCCCACTGAATCCAAACCTGCAGTTTAAAAAGATCCACTGGTATAACTGATGCATCAGTCAGTCTCTCCCCATCCCAGACATGTTCCTCAGCAGCCTCAAAAGTCTGAAGTGTATGGAACTCCTTACAAACAAGATTGAGATTTGAGAATGTCAGGCCACCCATTCTTACCCAATGCTCCCGACCACAGAGGGAGCCCTTTCTAAGAGCATGGGACAGAACTGACCACCAGCCCTGCTGGGGGTGGCATGGAGTTTCCCCACCGCAAGGGAAGGTCGATGGAGCTAAGGATTCAGTAGACTGCATTTAGCTTTTGACTTGTAAAACAGGCTCTTGTGAAGGCTCATTTCAAAAACAATAGTTCTGAAAGGTAAGGCCTTCACCTGAAAGAGCCAGGCTTTGAGGAGCACAAAAAGCGTTTTCTAAATCCCACAAGCATCCCTTTAATTGTTAAGAACCAAAGGCTCAGTGGATTCAGGGTACAGAATGTTTTACCATAAGCCCAGGAGTGGGGAAGACATGAAATTGAAAAGGGGGCAGTTTCCTGCCTCCAGAAAGAAGAAAAGCCCCTCCTGGGGTTGAGGGAAAGAGCCCAGAGAGGGATCAGGATCAGGAGGCAAGCAGCAAAGCCAGAGAACATGAGCAGGGCTTGTCCCTTGCACCCCCAACTCAGGTTCAAACCCTAGTGGCAGGGAAAAGACCCCTCAAGAAAGCCCAGAGCAGAGGGCTGACACCCTGTTTACCTCCAGGAACTTTGGGAGGAAGTGGTCTCACAGAGGCCCTGTGCCAGTGTGGGGATGGTGGGACCAACATGGGTTCAGTTCCAGTGGCGCCCAGGAACAGGGAAGATGGCTCTGGTGACAAGTGTCAGCAATGGGGGCAGCTCAAGTGTAATGTGAGGTGTATTAGACTTCTTGAAATCCATAAGTAAAGCATATGGTAGTTGACTAGAGTATCTGGGTCGTGCCAGATAATGGCTTAACGTCTGTAGGAAGGTGTGCACGGATGCACCTGCAGCTCCCATCTATCCATGACATGGACGGTAGAAAGTAAAATAGCAGAAAATAAACCAAGGCATTAAGAATCTCCTTCTGCACCTACCTTCAGCTAAAATACCAAGTCCAGCCTACCCCTTCCTTACTCTGCTCCAAGACTCTCATGCAGCAATTGGCTGATGGGAGGTTTGTGGCGGTGGGCTCATGAAGGAAGGGAGGTGGGACAGCTGAGCAATCCAGGTTACTATACTGCCCCTCCATCTCGGACACCTCCATTTTCAGGGTCAAGGGTCATCTGACCCTATAAGAGGATAGAAGTAATGACCTTCCCCCCATCTGTCTTTTTAAGTAATCCAAATGGATATAATCTGGGGAGGCAGGGCATTTTAAAAATCCCAGCAATGATCATTTTAACTCTTAGGTGATTATTTTGAACTCTGTGACACTGACTAAAAACCTCCGCTCAGAAAAATGACAAGTATTGGATAGTGAGTGTGCAGCAGAGGCTATTTGCCCAGGAAAGCACCGATGATTTGCGATTTATATTCTCCTGCCTGTTAGAATTAGAGCAAGAAAAATGCAAATTCATAGATATAATTTTAAAGATCTTTCATTCGGATCATAGTCATTTTGGAAACAAGCCAAACAGCAAGCCCTTCCATCTCTCACTGAGATTCTGCTGGGCTGTGAGACTGGTGCTTTGGAGTATATACTGTACTCACTCTATTGTGATCTGGAACCAAACCTGAAATATCTCTGAACTGTGCTTGTAATTTTGTGGTCAGCATCTCCTTCAATAAAGGGGTAGGTGAGGGACGGACTCAGAGTCAAGATACCAATGCAAGCAAATTAGAAGCAAAGGTCCATATAATTCAGACCAAAATGTCACCCCTGTATCTAAATAATCTGAACAAGTCCACACGATAGAAGTGTGCCAAATTATCCAAAAGGCTCCATTCCCCACGTGTTGGGAAAAGGCCTTGCAGACAGGGCTTCCATCTTAGGCTAACTCCCCATCATTCTCCATAAAAGTACTCTTGTTCCGGGGGCATTAATGTGTCCTACAAATGTACCAGGCACATGTGCTGGCGATGCAAAAATGGATGAGATATGGCCCTGGCCTGTGGCACTTCATTCTAGCTAGGGACACACACCAAGAAACCATCAGGATGACATGAGAAGGGAGCTGAAAGGGAGGTCCATGTGCAATGAGTGTCCAAGGGGGGCGGCGAGGAGGGGTATGTCTAAGCTGGCTCCTCAGCTGGGCCTGGAATGGGCATAGAAGCTCAAAGGAAGGGAGTTCCCAGCCCAGAGGACAGCGGTGCAAAGGAGCTAAACAAGGTGTGCCTGGACTGTATGGCCTGTGGAAGGTGGTGCGTAGAGCCCAGGCTGATGAGATGCAGAAGCTGGACAGGGCCGAGGGAGAGAAACTGATGAAAGCCAGGAGCGGTCAGAGAGACCAGAGGGAAATCAGAAGGTCCCAGAAGCGCTGGACAGGAGTATCTAAGAAAGGAGAATGATCAGCATGGTCGTTATGCCCAGAGGAGGACTGAAATGAGGTCGCTGGTTTGAAGGTCATTGCAGAACTGGGGGAGGGTGGACATAAGTCAGAGTGCAGGTGGCCGAGGAATGACAGGGAGGCGCGCCGCAACTTGCCTAGAAGGGGAGGGCTGAGCAAGGATGTGACCGGGGAAGGAGGGAAGAGGGAGAGCAGGGGAAGGATTTGTGCTTGTTTCATTTGTTCTTGGAGACTTCCATGTGATGGCACGCTGAGCATCAGCTACTGGAGAGAGCGCCCTGGATAGCGAAGAGAGGAGAAGTGAGAGAGAACAGGCTCCAGGGAAGGGAGAAGGCAGGTTCCGATAAAGAGGTTAGCCTGGTACTGAAACCGTGCCCTCTTCCTCAGGATGCAGGAGAGGAGGCAAGAATTCATGAGTTACGGGTAAATCGGGAGAGAGGTGCAGCACATGAAGGAGTAAATTCACCAAGGAGCCCTGGGAATCCCGCTGAGGCTGGAAACCAGAGATCTGTCACGCAGCCCCAGCAGCATAGGAGTAGAGAGATACTGATGAAGGAATTAACTCCAGGGAGTCTGCAGTAGAAGGAAACCCGCCTCTCTGTCCCCCACCCCATAACTCCCTTGAGTTGTTGACCAGAGTCTCCGACCTTAACAGAAATGCTTAGTGACAAATGGGACAACTTCCAAAGCTCAGGCACCATGTCTCCCCTCCACGCCAACACTTAACAGTTTGGGGTAGAAAATATTTTACCTGACTCTACAAATACCTATGCATTCTTTTTTGGCCCCTGCATGCGGTACCTGAGGATATTATTATTATGTGACAAAATGATATATGGCAGGACCGACTTTGCAGACAAGGAGTCCAGGCTGCTAATTAGTCAGTTATCTGTCTTCTGGAAGGAACTTTCCTGGGAGTATAAAATAATTTCACTGTGAGGCCTTCATTGTGAATACGGAAAATGATTGCCCTTTACACCCTAGGGTCCTGGGATTTTAGTCTGATGAACTCTAAAATTCAGCCTCAAACTGGAAGTTAAGTACTTAGGGGTTCCGGTTAATTCCTATATAAATACCTAACTGGTGTCTGCACCTTTTAGCACATGTGAACAGAGGCTACTTGGGAGACCTCTGAAATTCCAACTTGTATGTCTACGCTGGAGGCCTAGGGCAGATGTCTCATTAAACCTGATTGTTGTGTCACAGTAGGGAGGGGAGCCCAGATCTCCTCACCTGCTTCCTTTATGTGCTTGTAAACATCATCAGAGCCAGCAGAGGAGTATGGAATGTCATCATGGGCCACAAAGTCAATCTGTTAGAGAGAGAAGAGTGACGTCACCACTGGGGAAGGGGATGTGCATGTCTGCGATTTGAAAATGCCTTTTGAAATAAAGCAGCTGTAACAAAGCAGTTGAAATAAGCAGTTTATAATGGGGATTGGAATTCTTGACTGAAAGCTATTTCCAACTGTCTCCATTTCCATGAGATAATGGGAACTAGATTGGTTTCTCTCCTTTGCTGGTCCCTCTTTCTCCAACCTCTGATAGTAGGTTTTCTTGGCCTTCTGTTTTTCTGCCTCTAAACATTGTCCTTCAGATAATTCATTTGTGCTTCAGGTCTTAGTCACCCCTGCTATGATGGGGAAGCCAAGTGTCCATTTCCGTCCCACTGATGGCAATAGGCCCTCAAGTCCTATCTTATACAGTGTTATGGAAATGAATTTAGTCTGGTGAATGACTTTAGTTTCTTTTCTCATTTGATTTCCATAACCACCTTGTGAGGTACATAAGGCACATACTATTATTTCAGTTGGGACATGAGGCTGCTGAATCTGGAAAACTTGTCAGATTTGCCCAAAGTCACCCTTTTCTCTTTCAATACCCCTCGTTGTCACTTTAAAATCCACCTGCCTGGAATTTACTTCATCCTGAAAACTGGTACGTCCTTCCAATGGCACCTCCATTTTTCCAGGTCACCTAGGCCCCAAACACCTGGGTCCTTACTTCCTCTCTGTTGCTACCACACTAACCCAGGGTCCTGTCACCTGGATTACTGATACCAACTTGTACCTGACCTTCCTCACTGTGTGCTCCTCTCCAAGCCATTCCTCTGTCACATGGGGGATCCTCCTTAAACAGAATTTTCTCTTTGTCATCTCTGTGCCTGCTGATCTTCACTAGTTCGGTTTCCTACTATATCAAGTAAAACCTCCTTGCCTAGCTTTCTTTCAAAGCCCCTTATAACACACCTACACTCCACCTTGAGAGGTAGTTTGGAGTAGCAGTTTAATTTGCCTGGAAATGATTCCTGACCCCCACCACTTACAAGCTATATAACTTATAAATTGGTGATAAAGATTAAATCAGGATTTCTCAACCTCTGTATCGCTGACATTTTGACCTAATAATTCTTTTTTGGGGGGGTCTGTCCTGTGCACTGTAGGATGCTTAGTAGTACCCCTAGCATTTACCCACTAGATGCCAGTAGCACCCCTCTAGTTGCGACAGCCACAACTCTTTCCATACATTGCCAAATGTCCTTTGGGGGCAAACTCACCCCCACTTGAGAATCACTGGATTAAATGATATAATTATGTCAAAGTGTTTAAAAATAATAACTGGTACACAGTACTCAATCAATGTCATTTATTATTATTCCACTCTTGGCACTCAAACTTAGCTCCTCCTCCTGTCCAGTGTATAATAATAACAATAACAATAACAACAACTTCTCAGGGTACCCATGAAATTGAATACAATTTGTGTAAGAGCAAAGCACTTAGCACAGGGCTGGGCATGTGGCAGATACTCGGTGAGTGGCAGCCATCAGCACCATCATGAGTGCCTCCCTAAGGCTGGGCACAGGTTGAATATACCATAGATGCTTAGTGAAATGTGTTAGTGATTGCTGGAAGGAAATCATATTGAAGTTCTTCCTTTCTCTTTTATTCTTGCTGGGAAATTTTCTCCTCTGCTCTTACCGGTGCACATTTATCAGTGTTCTCTATTCTCTTCTACATCGTGAATTTAAAAATAGACAAGAAAACTCTTAGAACAGCTTAATCTTATTTTTTTGTGCTGCTTATAAAAGGAAAGAATAGCTCCTAATGTGCGGCTGGTAGGGAGATACAAAGCACATAATTTGATGCAAATCAAAAGAATTCTCGTGTTTTCAACTAATACAAATCTTATATCAGTAGGAGTCTCCGGGTCACAAAATCATAGGCATAAAGTTCTTTCCTTAAAGGCTGACCCCTGCCCTTCTGGATAAGATGTGTGTTCATTTGTTCCACGAAAAAAGATGCCTGTGAATCTATAAGCACAAATAATGAAAGTGGTGATGGTGGTGATAGCATTTTTAGAGCTCTTGCTATGAGCCAGCCAGTGTTCCAAGGGTTTCACTTAGATGAACTCTTTAGATTCTCCAAACAGCCCATGAGGAAAGCATCAGCATCAGCCCATTTTACAGTTTAGCTAAGTGAGATCTATATTTTGCTCAGGGTTAGGGCAGGAAGAGGCCGTAGTTGGACCTGGTGGGGTCTAGCTCCAGAGCCCACACTGAAGAAGTAAGAGGCTATCAAGTCCCCAGGATTGGGCAGGAAAGAGGGGCTCCATCAAGTGACACCAAATGACAGTTCCTGAAGTTACCTCTTTTAGAAACTGGAAGAGCCTTTGGGCTTTCTGGTGTTGGCTGCAGAGCCAGACTCCCTAATTCTGTTACTTAGAGAACAGGGAAGAGTAAGTACCTTGTGTTTTTCCAAAAACTCCGGGGTGAGTGTCCATGGAGCATCTCTGATGACTTCGTCCACATAGCGGCAGTGTCTGAGAGCCTCATATCGCTCTGCTTCATTCATCACGGTGAAACCTTTGAATTTGTGGGTAAGGTCATCGCTGCAAACTGAAAGAGGCAAGTGCATTGGATGCTGTTAGCTGGCCCAGGCCCTGCCCACAGCCAGCCAGTGCAGACATGGCTTCTTCCGCTAGACAAAAGCTCAGTCTCGCTAGGTGCTTTGCATAACCGAACTCAGTTTTTCACGGGAACAAAGGATCAGGAGAGCGAAGCAAGTGGAAGCCCACCAGCAATCAGAATTTCATTTTGCTGCTAATTACAAGTGCATTCTCCACTGTGGCTTTTATGAAAATTATCCTCCACACTGCTAATGTGACTTTCATTATCTTTTTATTTCCCTCTCCCATCCTTCAGTGAAAATTACTATTTAGAAACAAAATGATCAAATGACGAGACAGAGAAGGGAGCGAGAGGAGAGGCATCAAGAGGCGTGAATTACAGAAGGTTTTGAACAATCAGTTCCAATTCCTTTGCTAGATCATTGTACTTAATAGCCCAAGTGCAGCTCGCGTGCACGTGTGCGTGCACAAGCATACTTCTGTTCCCTGGACTGAGGACCAGTCCCTACACATCCGGCCACACCATCAGGAGGAGAAAGCCATGAACTACAAGGTCTGCTCTAGCAGAGCTCCCCCTTCCCACATCTCTTATCCTCTCTCGATCTCAGGTTCGTTCTGAACCCTCAAATGGGGACAGTAATAACCGCCACTATCAGCCTTAGAAGGAACTTGTTGAGGATTTACATAAAAGTGCTTTGAAACAAATGGAACAATAAATACTACTCATTAGCCTATCCAGAATGTATATATTTTAATCTTCACCTGAGTGAGGATATTTTTTCCATTGATTTTTAGGGACGGGGGGAGAGAAACATCGATGTAAGAGAGAGACATTGGTTGCCTTCTGCACACACCGACCAAGAGCGGGGATCGTACCTGCAACCCAGGCACGTGCCCCTGACTGGAAATCGAACCCGCAACCCTCTGGCTTGCAGGCCAACACTCCAACCACTGAGCCACGCTGGCCAGGGCCAGAGTATATTTTTGTTGGCAAAAGCAGCTTTCTGGAGCTTTACTACACATCACAAAGAAATGTGATGGTGGGTAGAGTCCCTGTTTACCAGTATATCCCAGGAAGGGTCTTGCTGCAGTGGGTCAGACTACCTCGACTGCTTCTTAAGATGACGTGTGTTTTTTCTTTAAGGCATTATGAACACACAATAAATTTACAAATTCTAAGTGTATAAGACATGTTTTAAAAACAAAAATATGAGCCCTGGCTGGGTGGCTCGGTTAGAGCATCGTCCCATACACCAAAAGGCTGTGGGTTCCATTCCCAGGTAGAGCACATACCTAGGTTGCAGGTTCGATCCCTGGTTGGGGAGTGTACTGCAGGCAATAGATTGATGTTTCTCACATCAATGCTTCTCTCTCTCTCTCTCTCTTTCTTCCTCTCTCTAAAATTGATAAAACATATCCTCGGGTAAGGATTTAAAAAAAAAAAAAAGTGATCATTTTCTTGGAACCAAATTATGACCCATATCCAGAACCAAATCTGGCCACAGAGCCAGTACAGCCAATGGCCATGCCCAGGATCCCTTGGAAAAGCTCCTATTGCAGCCCTCACACACTCCACATCCAGACCATCAGCAAAACAGTGCAGTTAGAAGTCGTGTTCTTACCACCTCACCGTTCCCTTGCAGCCCATTCGCATGTCTCCCATGGATTACTGCAGTGGCGTCCTAACTGGTCTGATTCTGGCCTTGCGCACCTCCTGTTCTCATCAGCCAGAATGATCCTGCTGAGACCCGTTAGCCTGTGTCATTCCCAGCCTCAGAACTCTTCCCATCGCCCCCAGAGTAAAAGCTAAACTCCTCCCATGGCTACAGGCTCCTCCTCCAAGATCCACACCTCCACCCACTCCTTGCCACTTTGGCTGCATCTTTTATGTCCTCCCAGCCCCTGGCTTCCTTGCTGTTATCTGAAGCCACCGGGAATACTCTTCTGTAGGTCAGGGCTTCACCTTTTCTGTTCCCCAAACCTGGAATAGTGTGTTCCAATTATCTATAGGGCTCACTCCCTGTCCTCCCTCAGGTCTTCCCCGACCACTCTATTCTAAATTGCAATCCTGCCACCACCACTGGAAGTCCCCATCCCTTCCCCACTTCTTGCCATGGCCCTCATCATCATATAATTGTCTTATTTAATTTTGTTTATGGTTGTATGTTCCTCTACTAAAATATAAGCTCCACAGGGACTTTTGTCTGTTTCATTTTCTGATGGTCCATAGTAGGCTCTTAACAAATATTTACTGAATGAATTAACAGTGCCTGATACACACACACACACACACACACAATAAATGTTTACTGTGATTTAAAGTAATAGATGTATATTTATCTGCAGGCACATTTCAACACCATACATGCAAATAAGAGGCTAGTGTGTCTCTAGATACACATGTGTATGCCTATATATCTTCCATACATACTTCCTGAGATGCTGTATAGAATACAATACAATAGAGAAAGCAGTGTAGTTTACTGTAACACCATCAGCCATCTGGCTGACTTGAAAACCTTGATGAGTATCAGAACCACCTAAGCAGCTTGTTAACTATAAAGATGAGCAGGCCCCACACCCCCAGATTTTGACTTAGTGGGGGCTATGGTCTGAATGTGTCCCTCCCAAATTCATATGGTGACATCTTAACTCCCAAAGGTAATGATGCCAGAAGTTGGCCCTTCAGAGGTACATAGGTCATGAGGGTGGGTTAGTGCCTTATAAAAGAGGCTCCAGAGAGCTCCCTAGAACCTTCCACCATGTAAGAAAACGGAGAAGACGCCAGCTGTGAATCGGGAAGAGGGTCCTCCCAGAAGAAGGCCATGTTAGCGCCTTGATCTTGGGCTTCCCAGACTCCAGAACTGTGAGAAAGAAACTCCGGTTGTTTTTAAGCTACCCAGTCTGTGGTATCTTGTTGTAGCAGCCTGAACGAACTAAGACGGTGGGTCTGGAGTGGGGTCCAGGGAGCTCTATTTTTCACAAGTTTCAGGGAAGATTCTGATGCATAAAACATTTGAAAGCTCCTGAAGCATGTTATGAACATCTTGAGTAAAGAGCCCAGGCTGTTTCTGAATCACCCATCACGCCCAGCTGTCGGTAGGGAGGCAGGGAGTAGGGCCATAATGACTATGTTATGTATTGATTCACTGACTGTGTTAGCTTTCAACTCCATAAATAGGAATCATTTATGGGCCAAGCTATACAATTTAAAAATTGATCTAAGACTTTAAATGTTCTTTTAGGACCCTACTAAAATACTACCTCAAGAACCATATTGAGCAGAAATAGATTTCAGATCTATCGATTTTTTATTTTAAACAACGTAAAACTAGGCCGGGTTATATTCCATCCTTCTTTTGAACCTGCACTTGAGCAATTTGGTATAACTTCTAGAGGACCAAGATAATGGCCTCCTGACAGAGCACAGAGAAAACAAATATCCTGTTTATGTCAATACAGGGTCCTATTTTCATATCCTAGGAGTGACCTCAAGAAGCAGCTGAACATGCTGACCAGTTATTGTCTCAACATTAATTACACCCAGAGCAGCACTGTTGTCCTTGAGTCTTGGCAAATGCACTCTGACAGCCAGATGGAGAACTCGGAGCCATGGTGTTCCACGGATGAGCTCACGCTGCAGCTAACCTATCCTGGCAACTCACTGGCCTCAAAATAAAACATAACCAGTACCCCTAGGCTTATCGGGTGATCACTTCATAAGTTATATAAATGTCTAATCACTATATTGTACCCCTGAAACAAATATAATATTGTATGCAATTGAAGTGTAATTGAAAATTTATTTTTTTTTTGGAAATTTTTTTAAATTAAAAAAATATTAGTACTCCTCAGGAGAAAAAATATAACATAGGGGTTGAACTTTGGATTTGGTTTGGGTTCTAATCCCAGCTCTACTACTTATTACTGGGAAAGTTACTCAAACTCTAAGCCTCAGTTGTCTGTCTTTAAAACATGGCAAAGTTTTGAGAATTAAATTTGATCATCTGTATGAGCAGAGAGCAATGCTCAATGTTTGTCATTTATTAATAGTAGAAATACAGGACCATTAATGGCAATATTCATTTTTGTTTGGAGCTGTCTTTTCCCTGCCCCCACTCCAAGGAGGTACCCAGCCTCTTGGTACAAACTCCCCCACAAAATATGTGAAGTTTAAGTTGCTGGCAGACAGCCTGCTCTTCTGACTAGTTTCCTCAAAGCCAGAATCTTTGGTGGAATTCTCTAAGGAAGAAGACTCCTCCAAACGAGGGTGAGGCCAAAGATCTGAGGATCCCACAAGCAGCAGATGCCAGCAGCAGAGCCTCTGAGGAAGAGGGACATGCTGCCTTGAGCACTGGAGTTCCACCTGGGCACAGACAATAGGTGCCTCACCTTGCACAGTGGGCCTGCTTCCTTCTAGTAATTTTGTGGGCTTGGATGGTGAAGGCAGTGCAAAAACAGTGCTGGGCTGAAGATTGGAAGCCCCTCTCCTGTTTCTGTAAATATTTTGAAATTTTGTTTGTCTCTGGGGAGCTGAAGAGAGCCCAACAAAGACTGAAACTGAATTTCCTATCAGTCAGGCAAGATGAAGTCTCAGAGGAATATTTGATTTCAATTAAAATATAATAGAGCATAAACCCACATCTATGGAGCAATATTTATGTCTACTATAATAGGAGTAGTATTAGGTTTATTGTTGTTTTTTATTACTCACCTGTGAGGCAGAAATGGGTATTTGGTGACTCAAATTTTTAAACAATTTTTTAAAGAAAACCTAATATAAATTTTAATTTCTTGATTTGCTTTTAAATGATATTTCAATCTTAAATTTATTGAGACTTGTTTTGTGTCCTAATATGTGGTCTATCCTAGAAAATGTTCCATATGTACTTGAGAAGACTGTATATTCTGCTGCTTTGGGGTGAAATGTTCTGAAGATATCAATTAAATCCATCTCATCTAGTGTGTCATTTAAGGCTGCTGTTTCCT